AAGGCATGCCTGGAGCTCCCCACTTCCTTTGCCATAAGAGAATTACTATAGATATGTTCAGGATCTTACACACCCACAAGGGATGAGTTTTAGGATTTAGCCCTGAAAGCAGCTCTCCAAAGAGCTGTGATTGTCAATCATTCATGCAGAGAAAAGCAACAACTTGGATTTCTCAGTATATGAAGAATCTAGTGATGATATCAAACAGTGTTTAACAAACAGGAGAAAGAACAGTTACTTACCTCATAACTGTGGTTCTTTGAGATGTGTTGCTCATGTCCATCCTATGTAGGTGTGTGCATGCAATGTGCATGTGTAGTTGGAAACTTTCCCCTAGCAGCACCTGTCGGGCCGGTGGGGGAGCCTCCTGGAGTGGTGCCACTATACCAGCCCATATATACCCCTGCTGGCCCTCTACAACCTCACTTCCTTCTTACCGGATTACTCCGAAGAAGGGGAGACGGGTGGGATTTGGAATGGACACGAGCAACACATCTCAAAAAACCACACTTGCAAGGTAAGTAACCGTTCTTTCTTCTTCAAGTGATTGCTCCTGTCCATTACACGTAGGTGACTCCAAAGCAGAAACCCAAGGAGGCGAGAAGAGTTCTAACATTCCACTGAGTAGAGGACAGCTCTACCTAGGGCAGCATCCTCTCTTGCCTGATTAATCAGAGCGTAATGGTTAGAAAAGGTATGGACAGCAGACCATGTGGCAGCCCTGCATATGTCCAGGATAGGGACCTGAGCCAGGAAGGCTGCGGAGGAGGCCTGAGCTCTAGTCAAGTGGGCCGTAAGGGAAGGGGCTGGAATTCTGGTCATCTCATAGCACTCCGTAATGCAGGCTGTGATCCAAGAGATCCTTTGTGCCGAAACTGGCTGGCCTTTCATCCGCTCTGCTATGGCAATAAGGAGCTGAGGTGACCTGTGGAAGGGCTTCGTTCTTTCTAAATAAAAGGCAAGAGCCCTTGAATGTCCAACGTGTGTAGTGCCTGTTCCTTACTCGATGCGTGCGGCTTGGGATAAAAAACAGGTCGGAATATGTCCTGCGACAAATGAAATTTGGACACTACCTTTGGCAGAAAGGCAGGGTGGGGGCACAACCTGGCTGTGTCTTTGAAGAAAACTTTATATGGGGGGTCCACAGGGAGGGCTCTCAGTTCGGACACACGTCTGGCCAACGTGATGGCCACCAAGAGTGATACCTTATAGGACAGGTGTAGTAATGAACACATCGCCAAAGGTTCAAATGGGGGTCCCATAAGCTTAGACAGGACCAGGTTGAGATCTCACTGAGGGATGGGTTGCCTGACATGGGTAAAGCCTGTCCAGGCCCTTCAAGAATCTGTTCACCACTGAGTCCACAAAAAGGGTCTTGCCCCTGGTGCCCAGATGGAAAGCAGAAATAGCCACTAGGTGGACCTTAAACGAGGAGGACAACCCTTTCAATCTGAGGTCCAAAAGGTAGCCCTGAACCCGGGGAACTGGGGCATCTACAGCCAAAAACTGCCTTTGAGTAGTCCAGTTATAAAACCGCTTCCATTTGGCTAAATACGTAGCCCTGGTGGAAGGCTTCCTACTACCCAACAGCACCTCCTGAACCTGAGCCGAACACTGAAGCTCCGCCGCTGTCAGCCATGGAGCTTCCATGCCGTGAGGTGCAGGAAGCACAGGGACGGAGCTTGCCACCGTCCTGGGTAATCAGGGATCTGGAGATCTCCGCCACCATTTTGTTGATGGGGAGGGCCACTCTGGTGGCGGTGTCTGACTGCAGAATGTCAACCGTAGGGTCAGAATCCTCTGACACACTCTCCGCCTAGACTCCCAGGCTTTGGGCCAGTTGGCGAAGGAGGTCCTGGGTCAGGGACCATAGGGAGAGCTATCGGTCTCTCGCATGACAGACTCAGGAGGATCGAGAACCACTGCTGTCTGGGCCATGCTCGGGCGATGAGGATCAGTGTCGCCCCAAATTCCCACACCCACAGGAGCACTCTGTGTACTAGTGGGAATGGCGGGAACACATAAAGGAGATCCCCAGGCCGGGGAATGACTAGCGCGTCTCCCTGAAAGCCCCACCTCATTGCAATAAGGGAGCAGAACTTCTGGTATTTCCGGTTCTGTTGTGTGGCGAACAGGTCCAGAAGGGGAAAACCCAACTTGCAGAAGATCCAAGCGGCCATGTTCCATCTGAGAGACTGGAGAAGGATCTGTTCAGCCCATCTGCCAGATCATTCTGGGTGCCCAGGAGATAGGGAGGCTGTAAGATGGATATCCACCCCGATGCAGAGATCCCACAGATGTAGGGCTTCCTGACACAGGTGACGTGACTGGGCACCACCCTGCCTGTTGATATACGAGACTGCCGATATTGTTGGATAAGATGAGTACTGACTTGCCCCGACTCGAAGGAAGAAGGCCACGCAAGCAAGGCGGACTGCCCGTAGCTCCCTGACATTGATGTGCAGGGAGAGATTGTCTGCGCTCCACATATCTTGTGTCTGTATGCCTCAGAGGTGAGCTCCACAGCCTACGTCTGATGCGTCCGTCACCAGCCAGAGGGTCAGTAAGAGCCAGGAGAATGGCACCACGGCGCAGACCTCCAATCCAGGGATCGAAGGACCTCGGAGGCCATGGTCACCACTTTGTCCCATTGGTGGAGGGACAGGTTGTGAGTGCATGCCAGCCACATCTGTAGTGGTCACATGTGGAGTTTGGCACATTGGGTGACATGTGCATGTCACCATTGGGCCCAGGAGTCGCCGTGGTTGTAAGTAATGCCTGCAGATCCCGGACAGTGGAGTTGATCACCAGGAAGCAGGACCAGGGGAGGGAAGCCCTTGCCAATGTGGAGTCCAGACTGGCGCCCGCAAACTCTATCACTGGAGTGGGTACCAAAGTTGATTTGTCCACATTCAGGAGTAGGCCTAATTCCCAGAAGAGATCCCAAACCAGGGCGATGTGAGCCCGCACCTGGTTTGCAAAGCTCCCTCATAACAGCCAGTCGTCCAGATAGGGGAACATCTGGACTCCTCTCTTCCTCAGAGCGGCAGCCACAACAGCCATATACTTTGTGAAAACCCAGGGGGCCATGGAAATCCCAAAGGGGAGGGCTGTAAACTGATAGTGGTCTCTGCCCACCATGAAGTGGAGGAACCGTTGGTGGTGAGGAACAATGGAAACATGAAAGTAGGCATCTTTTAGATTGAGGGCAGCGTACCACTCTCTGGAAGCTAGGGATGGAATGCTAGATTCCAGGGTCACCATATTGAATTCGGTTTTAATGATGAAGGTGTTGAGATCCCTGAGGCCCAAGACAGGGTGGAACACCCCCCCCTCCCCCTTGGCTTTGGGGCCCAGGAAATATCGGATATAGAAGCTCCTACCCAAGACTCCCAGGGGAACCGGCTTTGCAGCCCCTAGAGCGAGGAGCTGGAGGGCCTCCTCCTGAAGGAGAAGCTTGTGAGAGGGGTCCCTGAAGATGGACAGGGTAAGGGAATGTGAAGGAGGAGCGGAGTGGAAGGGGATGACATAGCCCCTTCCCACCATCTGTAGGACTCAGAGGTCCAAGGTAATAGATTCCCAAGCCCGGTGGAAAGGGAATAGACAATCCTGGAAGGGGAGGAATGAGACTGGTAAGCTGTCCTCAGGTGTACCCTCAAAATCCTTGACAAGGCCCTGAGGACTTGCTAGGTAAGCCCTGTGCCTGATCTTGGGACAGCCGAGGACACCTCCCATTGCCGTTTCTACTATGGTGCCAGGAGAAATCAGGGCAAGCGCCCTGCTGGGAAGGCCTAGGAGGGTTCCTGCCTGAGAAGGATCATTGCTGGGTGGCCAGGGTGTGAATGTCCAGTGACTTCAGCATGGCCTGGGTGTCCTTGAGCCCGTGTAGACACTGGTCCATCTGTTCAGAAAACAGAGAAGGACCCTTGAATGGAAGGTCTTGGATGGTATTTTGGAGCTCCAGGGGTACCCCAGACCCTTGCAGCCAAGAGCTGCGGCATAACACCGCCCCCGTAGCCATACCATGAGCGGCTGCATCTAAGGCGGCTTGGAGCACGGCCCTAGAGATAGTTCTGTCCTCTTCCAAGGGGACTCTGAAGTCGGCCTCAGAATCCCTGAGGAGGAGTTCGTTAAACTTGTCCATGGAGGTCCAGTTGATATATTCATAGCGAGACAGCAAAACCAGCTGGATCGCTATGTGAAGCTTTAGGCCTCCGGACGCATATGCCTTCCTCCCTGAGAGGTCCATCTTTTTGGCGTCCCTTTTCTAAGGGGTGGTGCCTGGCTGGCCCTGTCTCTCTCTGATTCACTGCCTGAACCACCAGTAACCCCCGGAGGCAGGAGGGAGAAGAGGTATTCATTCCCTTCCTGGGCCACAAAGTACCACTGTTCAGCTTTCTTGTTTGTTGGTGGAATGGAGGCCGGGGTTTGCCAGAGGGATCTGGAGATCTCCGCCACCATTTTGTTGATGGGGAGGGCCACTCTGGTAGCGGTGTCTGACTGCAGAATGTCAACCGTAGGGTCAGAATCCTCTGACACACTCTCCGCCTAGACTCCCAGGCTTTGGGCCAGTTGGCGAAGGAGGTCCTGAGGAGGAGCTTAAGAGGATGTTGACAGGGGTACTTGAGTGGCCAAACCACGGGGCCCTCAGACTCCAAGTAGTGTGGGGACGTCTGGCCTGGCAGAAGCGACTGCCCCAATGTAGGTGACTGAGTGAGTGGAGTTGCTGAAGGAGAGGCTCTGTACCCAGAGAAGACCAACTCTGGTCTGGGGGGAGCCACACCCTGACTCTGGTGGTAAGCCCATGGGGTCCAGAAGGGCCACTGAGATGGAGCTGGTGCCAGTGGGGGCCATCATGACTGCTGCATCCCCGGCACAGGGCTGGCTATGCCCATTGATACTGTTGTTGATGGGCAGAGGTACTGCGGTGCGATGCTCAGTGACGGGAATGAGACCGATGCGAGATCATGATCTTGACCCCTTGGAGGACCATGTGGATTCCACCTCTGAATCAGTCGAATACTCCGAAGCCAACCACGGTGGTGTAGAGGCAGACACAGCCAGTAGTCTCGATGTTGGGGCATGCTGGGCCATCGATTCTGGCTTACCCTGGTGTGGACAACAAAGACGGGGAGGCATGGTCGGTGCCAGGCCCAGTGCGCTCTGGTTGGTGTCCTCAGTGCCATTTGAGGCCCTTGTCCTGGCACCAGGTCCTGTGCCGAGGCCTGGGCCAAGGTTGCCGCCAGTGCCGGCCCCAACGGAAGGCGCTGCTGGTGCAGCAGTACAGGACCAGTGTTTTCTCAACTCCGGTGCTGGGTGCCCTAGCCTCCGACTGGTGCCGAATGGAATCCCGGTCCTTGGCTGTTGATCGGTGCTGGGAGAGAGGGGGACAACTCAATAAGGTCCTGGCGGCGTGGAAGGCCTCTGGTGTCAAGGGCTCCGGGAAATTCCCAACTGGCCCGGGATCCCGGTGTGGACTGGAATGTTTGCCTGACCAAGAAGGTCCAGGCTTAGAGCCCCAAGGTGCCACGTGCCCCACTTGAGGCCGCACAGAGGGCATGTGCAGCGAGGGTGATCTGTCTCTGCTAGGCCACCTCTTCTTCTGAGGCACCGGAGATTGGGAGTGGTGCTGAGGTCCGCACCAAGTTCAGTGCACTCTGGGTCGCTGGTGCCGGGTCAGAAGCCAGTGCCAGCTGCAAAGCCACCTCCATTAGGACGATCTTAAGACACAATTCTCTCTCCCGCTTTGTGCGCAGCTTGAACGCTGGACAAATGGGCCTCGCCCAGACACTTAAGGCAGGCAGAGTGTGGGTCACCACAGGGCGTAGGACTCTGGAACTTCTCACAGGGCTCGAAGCCTTGTGGCCCAGACACAGTCCTAGGGGTGCGGGACAGAGACTACTACGGTGGGTCCTTAACTCAAAAGGAAACCACTTAACAACTACTTAACGAGAACTTGATATGAACCGTAAATATAACACTATAACAAAGAACTGTAACACTAAGCTGCAAAGGGGCGCTTGCTAAGCAAGAGCAGAAGTATGGTCTAATGACCATCACTGGCTTTAAGAAGGAATTGAGGGGGTGGAGGGCCAGTAGGGGTATATATGGGCCGGTATACCAGTGCCGCTCCACGGGGCTCTCCCGCTGGCCCGACAGGTGCTGCTAGGGGAAAAGTTTCCGAAGATGCGTGCATGCTGCACGTGCATATTTACATGGAATGGACATAAGCAATCACTCAAAGAAGAAACAATGTTTTTTAAACAACTACATAGTTATCTACAAAACAGTAGGTAGCATAATTAGCATCTTGTAAAATTTGTTTGCAAGGTCCTAAAACATATCCTTTTACCTGCTGACCTCTTCAAAACAATTTCCTGAAAAGTCTTTCACATCATTTTTAAGACTACAATCATAAAGGAACACCAAATATCATGCTATTTGCCATTATGAGTACATTTTCAATTGAAATCTTGCTCCCTTATTACCTCTTTGTTATACAATGAAAGTACTCACTGTTTTTCTGCTTGATTCGGGGAGATGCAAGCCATCTGATGATTGCATGATAGTTTCTTGTGCTATCAGTTTGGAAACACTGAACACTTTAACTTTAGCTTTGGAATTTCTGGAGCTGCTATTCAGAATACTGATTGCAGCTTCATTGTAAGCATCTATTTTCTCATTGGTGATCATTTTCCTGCTGTCACTCAGCATATCTTCACAAACAGGATCTAAATATAAAAGAATGAAACTTTTTATTTAAAAAATCAATCATCATAACTCAAGTTCTATGGATTATATTAATCCTAAAAGATTAATCTATTTTTCAGAGTTACAAATATAAAATGTTAACTTTACCATCCAGTGTATTATAATCCTTGTTTTTATAAGGTTTAAACCCAATAGTCAAAATTTACGATAATCTTCAATTGCCTTGCAAGAATTTAGTTTGGGAGCAAATTTCCCCAAAAAACCTCTCAGAAAATGTATTTAGTCACCTAGTGAAGAAGAGATTTTCTCTTCTCAAATGCTCCTCCACATTCCATTAGTCCAATAAACCTACATCAATACTAGTTTGGGATTAAAAAACCCTTAACTCTATTTGTTCATAATGCTGAATATGTCAATTCAACATTAGAATGGGCGCATCAGTCATCAATATGTTTAAGGTTACATAAGTGTTAACATTCTAATCTAAAAATCCAGAAACATCAAAATTAAAACAGAATGATTTTGTCCCCCTATATTCATTACATCATGATCTTTAAATTCATTATTAAATACTAGTTCTCAAATAATTCAGTCCATCACAGTATTTTTCCTATAGCCTTAAACACACAGTAATACCTATATTTTTCATATTTCTATAGTTATACTGGACTATGAAAATAGCACATTTCTACTGACCCTGAATTGTTATACATGTTCTTCAAGTATACATTTAATTTAATATATCACTTTTCTTTCAGTCAGCAGCACAGCTAGACTTAGTTCAAGATGAGAGACACCAAACTGAACTAATGTAGATGGCCCATTTCAGCATAATTTTCACTATTACTTTAAGACATACTGAAAATGTAAAATGCTGGGCAATAACTGGTTATTTTGTTTTTCATACTAATGACTTTAATGAACTGATATACAGACTAGTAGTACTCAACACTATCATATGTCACACATGTATATCTGAAGGCTTAATCCTGCAAAAATTTAATGTGCTTCCCTACCATGAGCAGTCCCTGCCTCTCTGATTTCAGATACAAATATTGATTACTATAGGACTAACTAAAGTAGCAAGCATTACACCTAATAAGCACGCACAAAATAAGGTAATGAAGTATTAGAATAACTGTTTATGTTGTATTATTTGATAAACTGCACATGATCATATTATACAATACCCCAAAAATACAATACCCAAAAGGTGAGAGAACTGAGACTGCATGTATAACCTGAACTTTGGCTACACTTGATTTTTAAACCATTAACTAAGCAAAGTTCACATCTTATATGTGTCTGCTTTTTTTTTAAGTTATGTAACGAACATTTCAAAATATTTTACACCAGTCTAGTTGCTGTATGTAATTAACTGTAGTCATACTGTGTATATTGATGTGCATATTGGTGTGTGTATGCCCAACCTCGGAGCTCCTTTTTTGGAAAATGTATTACTTTCTGGCTAAAAACTAACACCGTAACAGAAAAACACTTGAACAGAAGCATTTCTGCTCACCTTTATCATGGGCTGCACATGCAAAGCAATTTGAAGTTTTATTGTAAGAATCTATCAACAACAGGTCAGTTAGGGGTTCTTAAGGTTTTTCCCCCAGGAAGAAGAAATCAACTGTTTAAATCTAGATTTAACTGTCAGCACACGTAATTGCACTAAGGTAGCAACAGGTCAAACACATGGAATGTACGGTCAAGAGGAAATGGTGGAATCTAGCTTACAATGTTAACAAAGATCCAAATCTATCAGTTTTCATATAAAAATTTTCTGAGTATTTTTGTATCCACTAGACTGCTCTGAGGTTCATCATAATGTAAAACAAGGCCGTGAAAGATGGTTTAACCCTCTACAGCCTGCAAAATTTATTCAAATCAGACAATTACAGCACAAATTATATTATCTACTGTAGTTTACCTTGTAAGACCCAGTAAACATCACTACTCTTTGCTAATTTTTCCAAAAGAGGTGCTATTGAAGTGATATTGATTTTATATTGTGTGAGGGCTTCAGTGCTGCCATTGTGAATCTTGATAGACCACTAGAAGATTAAATAAAAAAAATTAGATTCTGTATCTCTAAAGAATAATAAATCATAAAACGTCAATGATTCCACTCCATCATTACCAGCTTTCAATACTATTATAAAAACTAACACCGTAACAGAAAAACACCTGTTTACTTCTTAAATATTTTAGTCATTTTTATAACATTAAAAACATTTTTTGGTTTGGCAGACTAGACGCAGCACAGAAAAATGAAAGACTATCATAAAGAGTACCAAGATACACCATGTAACTGTTTTAACAAAGTGTAGTTTTTGTCTGCTAAAAAATTGTTCTGATACACATTTGTTTAGAAACTCATTGAATTGATCTATTAATATTCAGGTAGCAGTAACATATACAGACGAGATTTAGGGCCAAATCCTGGAGGCTTTACTTTATCAAAACTCTCACAGACTTCAATGAGACATTTGTATGAGCACAGCCTGCAGCGTAGTAAGGCCTTTAGCATATTCATTTATTTAAGTGGCATTTTCTGAAAAAAACATAGTACTGTTTTACAGGTAGACATCAGAAACATTTATGATGATTTGTGATGGTATCTATTTAGGTACTACAGTGAAGGGGAACAATTATGTATCCAAGTGCCTCCCAAGTATTTAACTAAAATTACAGTAACAGTCTCTCTCAAGTCTTTCTATTTTGTAACAGGAATATTATTCAAATTCTTCAAATTGTTCTGTGTGTGTCTGTGTTGACGTTGCAAAGGGAAGGCAGAGCCAAAAAGATGAGTTTTGTATTAGCCTGCATGTGCTGAGGCTTATGAGGACTGTAATGTTTCTTAGGAGTGAATTACATGATCTAGGTCCATTTCCTGTGAGTCTCCTACACTTTTAAGCTTATCCTAGTTGGCCATTATTTCAGGGGGAAATAGATGTTGTGAGAGGTCAAAATCTTGGAAGAACCAAACTTCTTCAGAAGTTATTCCCAATTCAGTGGAAAACATTGAACAAAACTGATACTGTATTCTGTACTAGCGACAAACTGGAGCAGAATGGTGCACTGAGATGATGTAGTCACAGCGCAGATGGGCAGCTGAGTTTTGTACTAGTATGATCTTGTCCAGAATCCATATAAACCAGTCTGAAGATGACAAATGTGTACAGCAATGTGGCCAATGCTAAGCTCGAGGAGAAGGGGCACAGTAGTCTGACCAGTCTAAGACAGAAATAGAAGCTTTTTCTACCATCAGTACTTGAGCATCAAATTGAGCTTGAGGAATCCCATGGACCCAAAGGCTGCAAACAACTTAATAAGAGGGCAGATATGCTTGGTAGTGATAGGGGCACAGGCAACAAAAACAGGATAGTACATCAGAAACTTATCAGAATTATTTCAGTATTGCACAAGTTCAACTTTGGCAAACTGAAAGATGGTGTTGTAAAGGACACAGAGACACGAGTGTCATCTTTGTACTGCAAATTCATTTTTCTCTTTCATATCCACAAAGGCTAAGTTTGAAGTCAAAGGTGATGCCCTTGGTTGCAGTTAGCTAGAAGCAGGCACTTAGTACTGCTCTGTCTATAATCATGGGCCTCAGTGGCTCTTAAGTTCTTGACTGGGCAGATTTTTCTGTAAATACATTTTGGAATTTGGTTTTCAGGAGTAGACTATGGTAGTGATTTTCTGTCTTATACCAGAGAGCTTTCATTTCTATGTCGGGTAGCACATGATGTGATTAAGACTGAGTGTCTATTCTTGAGTTTATGTTAGTATTCAAATTGTAGCTATGGCCTAAAATTTAAGTGCTATAAAGGCTCACTTGTGATGTTGCAGCAGTACTGCAGCATAGTTATTTTCTGAAATGATGGAGGGCATTTTTCTATGACTGGTTAGTAACCCATATCCCCAAAGGCAGTATTTAGATCAATGCTTTCTTCCCTAGTTGCTTCTACTCCAGGGATTACATCAGCATAGACACAGTTCTCAGGGATGCAATTTTTTTCACACCCTAGAGCAACAATGTCAATCTAAACTGAAAGAGTAGATCAGGCCTTACTATTTTGTCTGGAATATTGGTGTACGTGGTCTGTGCGTGAGAAACTTCTAAGAAAACATACAAGAATCAAAAAGCATAGAGTTCAGATAGGAGTTTTAGGCTATTGTGTGGATGATAGGTCTCCCAAAACGTTGGTGTGACCCTGGCAGACTTGATGCCAGCTCACACCTAGGCCTCACTGAACACTGGAAAAAAAAAATCTATAACTGGAAACCAGTCCCAGCTCATCTCTGTGTTAGTATTATTAAAACAGATGTTAGATTTATAAAAATGTGCTTAGGTTGTACAAAATTCTAGTAAGTTGCTGCATGCATTAATCTCACATATTACATCTGTGTACCACATTATAAGGTAATATTTAGGTATTTCCTATGTGACTATGAAAATGTTTGCGTAGAAGCTATAATGGCCCATATCTCCTGATGCCATTAAAGTCAGAAGAGATACCTTTACAACTGTCAAATACTAGTTTACCACAAGAGATGTAATCTCCTGCCCAACGAAATATGACCGACAGACATCAGATAAACTACTATGCAATATCAAGGTACAAAAGACTTTGATGATTACCTTTCCACACACACACTCTTGAAGAGGAGACAGTGCACAAACACTCATCCCATCAGTTTGATTTCTGGAGGGAAAGGGAATAAAAATCCCCGACAAAAAGAAATTGCTATTGCTATTCTGCTTGAGCCCTGAAAGAAGAAGACTTCTAAGCATAAGCAAGGGACTCCCGGCTGTTTAGCTTGGGTGAGCCTTAATGGACATACATTAATTGCACATTACAGAAGCTTCTATCATCTTTTGAAACGTAACACTACTCATTTGTGTGTGTGTATGTCACTGCTTTAAGTTTGCAAATAACTAATTTATTTTCCTTAATTAATAATCTTCAGTTAGTTTATTATAGCAATGGCTAAAGGCATTGTTTTTGGTTTTAGCTTTGAGATGCAACTGACTTAAAGAAAGTGACCAGTCCTTTGGGTTTGGGAGTAGCCAAAAATCTCAGTGATATTCAGATGTAAGGGACCATCTATCACAAGGGTGTCAAACTCATGGACCATGGGCCATCTTCAGTCCAAGCAATTCCACAATCCAGCTCACATGCAACTGCTGGCACACGAGTCCCTCTCCCCACCACAGCACCCCTTCCTTCAAACTTTCTCCCCCCAGGGGACGTGGCTTGGTGCAGGGCAACAGCAGAGGTCAGCCCCTCCCTCCACTCTTCCCTCTCCTCTCCTGAGAGATAGAAGAGTAGTGGAGCAAAGGCTGCTGCTGCATGGCTCCATTTTCCCACAGCTCCTGCTGCCACAGTGAATGTGGGAGAGACGGGAGACAACTGTGCTCCGAGCCCCAGTCCACCCAGGACCCAATGGGTTAACCTGATTATGGAGACTGGCCTGTCCATAGTACAGTTGGGGTAGCCACTTCAGGACTTCCCCAAAGCACTGGGCCTGGGGTGGCAACCACAAACCATCTTATTGATGGTATGGCTTTGCACACACCTCCCCCGGGTGAAAGGGACATGTCAGCAGCAACGCGGAACTAGCAGCCATAAGCTGCTCTAACTCTATTGCGCTGCTGGTGGTGGCAGTGGGAGCCCCCAAGGTTTTTTAAAATCACCTGGGGATGGTAGGGAGGGCTGGGGGAAGCTCATGGGCCAGCGGGTGAGATCATGAGTTGCACCGGGGTAGAGGGGAAGACATGTGGAGAGCTCCCACCCCCACCCACTGGCCTGGTAGGAGGATCTGAGGACTGGCACTGGCCCTAAGATAGATTTGAGTTTGAGACCTCTGATCTATCACAAAGACAGGCTTGCCTAGGATAGTAAGATAGACTAGAGTACTCAAGGGGACCGTCTGTGAAGCTTGAGGTGTTCATGCTTGATACTTGGTGAAATTTTAGTTTAGAACTCACAGTTTGGGCTTTGTGCGCTGGGTTGTAACAGTCTGCCCTGAAACCGATACTCATGTTTATGAGCTGCTCCAGACATACTGACAGATGGCTCTTATGAACTTTGTGACATCAGACTACATGTATACATCACCACCTCTTGGAAATTTTTGGTGTCCAGAGATTTACACATTAGCAGAACTCTTGGAGTGCATCTACACAACACCCTAAACTCGAAATAAGATACACAGTTATTTCAGAACTATTTTGAAATACCTCTACACAGTGCCAAATTTCAAAATAATGCTCTATTTTGAGCCATCCCTTATCCCTCGTGCAATGAGGTTTACTGAGATGGTGAAATAGCCATGAAGTGTAGACGTACCCCTAGAGTCCTGCTAATGTGTAGATGTACCCCTAGAGATGTATTATCTTCAAATTCAAAGATCAAGTAGCAGCACTCAAAGGATTTTTTTTCAAGTGTATTACTTCCTGAATTTGTTTTAAATTGGTTCATCCACACTCAAAGTAAAATTAAAAAAAAATGAAAAATTTAATAATGATTTAAATTAGCAAACAGGAAACCTTGGCTTTAATTAGTGATTCAAATCATGCTTTGCATTTGTACTTTTTAGTTATTTTCCTAAAGAAAGGTTGGTAACCATTAAAACTAAATATAGCTTTTATATTACATTTGAAAAATGTTTTGCTAACCAGGATGATGCCATTAAAGATGGGAGATTGTGGGAACACTTGTCCATATCCCAAAGTGTTGCTGATACCTGGTACTGGTGGAAGAATCCTACTCCTCTTTCTACTGAAAGCAGGGAGAGAATGAGGACTAGTCTACAATACTGAGTAAATCAATGTAATTTACTTTGCTCAGGGGTGTGAAAAAGACACATGCTAAGTGCTCAAAGTTACAGTGACTACTATGTTGATGGAGACACTCTCCTGTTAACATAGCATATCTTCAGCAGATGAACAACAGAGACGCAGCTGCACTGGTGCTGCTGCAATGATGTAGTACTCTAGTGTACACCTGCCTTGAGGTTCAGATTCCTGAATCAGAATTGCAAAGCTCATAGTCTCAGGAAGCAGATTCCTGGGAGTAGCAGCAGCAGAAAGGGGGTATTCAACAGGTCAACAGAGTAAAGATTAATTTAAATTAAGTAAAAAAATGGATTCCTATAAGTAAAACTTAGACAGCACCATCATCAAGGTCAATATATTTCTGAAAACAATATTCATTTAAAAGTTTACATTCAGTTAACCAAATTATTCATAAATATATTAAACACTTTTATGAAGTACCAGGACTATCTTCTCATAGGATTTGTTATATGTTTTATCCATGCATCAAGCCAAAACACAATCTTTAACAACGTAATAGTGAGAAACTATTACTGTACAAGATACAAATCCCTATAAAAATATTACTGATATTTGTAAGGCCCAAACTACTACTATTTGCTATAAACAAGAGCAAGACAACTGGAATAGAAGATTGTCAATGAGTGTATGTTTTCACTTTTGAAATGAAAAGTAACTAGAAGCATAAGTCTTCTCTTGTAACAATTTCCACATATTCACACCTGTGCCTACTGCATAAAAATCTTACCGTAGCAGCTCCTGCTACAATTATATGAGGTTTTGCAACAGAACCCTAAAACAAAGTGAAAGAGAGATTAGTCTTCTAAAAGTATTCACAAATCACTACAAGCCATTATTCAATGTATTGCACAAGTTATTTAACATGTGTGCCTCAATTTTATCACATCACTGCTGCCTGTGAAGCTAAAGATTTTGTAAAGCAATTTGATCCAATGTAAGTGCCAAGTATTATGTTTCCATATATTCAAAATTATTTATCGAGTTAGACAGCATTTAAGTTTGCTGTTTAAAAGCTATCCAGGCAGCTATGATCTGAACTGCTGAATAATACAACCATGCATAATAGCAGCTAAAATAAATATTCTAGACATTTGTGATCTGGCATGTTTATCATTAAGTAGTAGATAATGACTCTGAAGATATTTGTCTAAACAATTAAGTCACAATCATATTATTACTAGTAATACTGTAGTGCCTATGAATGCTGTATCGGGACAGATCCCACTGTGGTGGTGCTGTGGTAACACAGAACAAAGATAATGCCTGCCTGACAGTTTTTACAATCTACATATAACACAAGAAGCAGACAGAGGCAGATGGGGAGTTACAAGAAAACAACAATAATATCTGTCAGTATCATGGGTAGTGGTCTCAGCCATCTGCAGCCTAAAAAAGGTTTTGAAGGAGGACAGAGAGGTAGTTTCACAGAGGTTTAGGAGGAGCTTCCTATAAACATGACAGGCATGATAGGAAAAAGCACAGAGGAGTTTATCTGAAAATGTACAAGTGGGAAGAGGAGGCTGGCATAATGAGCCATTATCGAATCATTCCAAACTGTTATCAAAGTTGCCAAGGGACAAAATCCAGAAATGGCAACTATTCTTTAGTAAGAGTCAATTTGTGAAGAACATTACGAAGTATCAAGAGAAATAGATGATCAAGTTGCTATACTTGTTAAGCACAGTAATCTGTTAACCAGTAATTTTAAAGAACACCTGATAGCATAAATACATGCATCATATTAGACCATCAGTATAACTAATGCATAATTATAAGATCCTGTGCACCCCTCCAAGTTGGCAAAAGTTAACCAGATACTGCAGAGCTGTGGGATTCTTTGGAGACTTTCATTTGAGCTCTAAATGTATGAATCCAAACTGTGAATTTCTGCAATTTGTGGTAGCTTGCTGGTCTGTGGGAATATATATTGTTAATATAATAGATGTATACTATATCTTTTTAGAATTGTTAGAGGATAACTTGAGTTCAATTTTTAAATTATTATTCTCCTTTATCTGTATCTAGAACTTATGCACAATACAAGTCAAGCACATGGAACAAGAGGAAAACCATGTTTCCCAATCTATTAGTATGCATATTTTCTAAAGTCAGTATATTTTTAGTACGCACCTCAGTCCAAGATTTAATAAGTTGCTTCATCGAGCCATTAACTTCTGGATACCACAAGAAATCCTGTAAAAAGAATGTATTAACACCTGTGAATAAATCTAAGAGCAATTTGTAATTCAGAAAATGCAGTATACCAATTGCAAGCAATGCATTTAACACAGGAAAAACTGCACAGGTCCAATTTTTTCTTCATGTCTTTACTAGGTTGATGGACCAATCACAGATGAAAGATCTGGTATCTTAGTCAGGAACAAAGGGAAAAATAAATGAGAGTTTTGTCATTTACTTCAATGGAGCCAAGATTTCACACAGAATGAAAACTTTTACACCAGTTGAAAGTTAAGAGTCTCAATTTTCCAATACTACACAGGACAAAAACAAACGTTTTAAGGTTTAGAACAGATCGCAACAGTGTATTCTAGTATTTGCTTCGTTCCCCACAAATTTTAGCATCATTATCTTGCAAATCTGTGAACTAGAAAACCAATTTTCTGAAAGCTTAACATTACAGATTTTAAGTTATGCTGATTTCTAATATTTAATACTAGCATTTCATGTTCGGGCGTCTAAAAATAGAGCATTGGAGAACAAAATGGGTGAATGACTTACACTTTATTAAAATCATTCCTCTCAATAAAAATGAAATATTTCAATTAGTTCCTAAAGATTTATGTAAAAATTTATTCATATTTCAGAGGGGTCACCATGTTAGTCTGTATCTTAAACACAATTAGTCCTGTAGCACCTTAGAGACTAAACCCACTTCCTCAGATGAGCATAGTGGAGAGAAAAGGGGGGGCCCTCACAAATTATAATAGAAAAACAATGGGGGGGGGGAGATACCTGTCAATTGTAGTGCGGGTGCTAAGGAGGCTAATTAAGTGGGCTAGAAGTGACCCATACGTAGCTTTTGATGTCAATTGGGTGTTGAATGCAAGGAAAGCGGGTTTTATAATGGGCCATCCAGTTTAGGTCTTTGTTCAAGCCACAAGAGACAGAGCCAAATTTGCATATGAAGCTCAGTTTCCCACAATCTCTCTATAGTTGGCTTGCGAAATTCCTTTGCAGAAGGTGTATACAAGCAATACCATCAGAGGAGGTCTATGCTACAGGGAATAGTCAATCTAGGCCACACAACTGGAATTACATTAGTAGTGTAACTCAAGTCAATGTAGCACAGATCTCTTTACTGCGGGGACCTCACCGCACTGGGTCGATGGGAGAATCTCTCCCATCAACTCCCCTTACTCTTCTTTTACCAGTACTCCACAGGAGTCAATGGGAGAATAATCATCAGTCAATTTAGTGGGTCTTCATTACAACACTAAATCGACTCTCTGTGGATTGAGCACCACTGCACTGATGCCACCAGTACTGGATATGAACTCTGAGAGGCCATTTAAGTCCCAAACTACTACTTTTTGTACTTTGGGCCAAACTACATAAGCAGTTTTGCTTACATAATCAAAACGTACTGCAGTCTCCTAACATAGTACAGTTTAGACAGTGTGCGATCAAAGGGAAAATGCAAAGAAAAGAAAGCTTTATTATAAAGGCAGAAAGAACATTCTAGCACAAAGTTACACTTCTTCCCTGAGCATGACACCAACTATCCTTTTTAATCATAGCTTTCTCCAAAGACCCAAATAGTCCACTTGATGAACATTCTCTTAATGAATTATATGGAAAGGAGTGGGAAGAAAGAAATGCTACTGAGGTCCTTACAAAAGGAAGACTCCACTACCAGATCACTAGGAATGGGGAAGGAGAACAGGGTTTCCTCAAAACCTACCGATAATCCCCAAGTTTTTTTGTATGTTTTTTTAACAACCTTCTACACTAGCAATGCATGTGGTTCACTCTGTTACTGCAATCAAAGTGGACCCTGGGCAGAGAACTGAATGAGTCGCACAGAAAGCTCATCTGCATTTACCACATTCCTTGTTCCAGGTATCAGAAGATACTTCCATTAGAAGGCCCAATTATGAAATTTGATGAGAGGACTAATATTGTACGTTCCTTCTACTGAGTCCAAAGCTCCTTTAAAATAATGGGAATTATTATTTTTTTAAATCTTCTAGGGAAAAAGAAAATAAAATCAGGTCATAAATAGTGCTGAGCACATGAAACTTTGACCGTTCCTTCTACTGAGTCCAAAGCTCCTCTAAAATAATGGGAATTATTTTTTTTAAAATCTTCTAGGGAAAAAGAAAAGAAAATCAGGCCATAAATAGTGCTGAGCACATGAAACCTTGATTGACTTCTGTTTGATTTGTAACTGATCAGTACGCCTAAAAAGAGGCCCTCAATTATTTTCACCAGAAGTACAGGGGGAGCATATATATTATACATTGATTATTATAACAGAGTTTATTAGCACACAAAAACACCTTACCACTTTAATTGATGCAGATTTGTCTTCAAAAATAATGTTTCCATGCTGTCAAAATAAGAAACAAATTAAACTTGTACTCCGGGAGGTAGTATATGTTCAAATACTGATCCCTCTCATCTCTAGATCCCTGCAATTCTGTGAATGACCACAGACCATATCTGTGGATAGGTACAGATACAAATTTTGTCTCCTTCCAAGAGTCTACTCATTTCTCATCTAAGATCTCATCTATACAGGTTAAAACTCCGTAATCTGGTTTGGCAACAGCCCTGATCCTGCAGTATCAGGTGACACGCATGAGAGAACTCATGGGGATAAGCCATCGGGCTGGGGCCAGGAGCGTTGCCAAACTACAGGACCTAAACGGAGCCCAGGGGGCAGCAGAGCTGCCAGGAGGAACACAGAACCCCTGGTCCAGCAAACTCTCTGGTTTGGAACCAGTGAGGTCCCGATGATGCCAGACCAGGAGGTGCAACCTATACTAAAGAGAGTTTGTTAGTACTATAGCTCCCACAGGAGACACATGTTATACTAGAAAAATAATTATTTTGACTGTACATAATATACCACTTCCCCAAAGGACCTAAGATATACTAGCAAAAAGTTGGCTTTTGTTTTTGCTGATGTAACTGATTTTTTCATGCTCCTGATATAACAATGCTGGCAAAACTTAGAAGTGTAGCTCAGGCACATATATGGTGGTATATTATTATAGCAACCCTTGGAACACCAAAGCTTTCTATTACCAAATTATTCAAAAAAGTCTGAAATCTTTCCTTTCTACACGTCTCTATTTTCATTAATATACTTCTCCAAGGATTGAAAGAAAAATAAAATGTTTTCCTCTCACACTTCCCTGGTCTATACCACGAGTATGCCTACTTTTCGGCTCCCCTTGTACTCTAACAACTGAACCAAAAGTTTCCAGAAAAAAAAAAGTCACCAAATGCAGAAATCAAGCCTGGAATATGTAATTTATAATTTATTAACTGAAAAGAAGAAATTAGAATGGAATAAGTTAGGTATCCTTAATTACAGTAAACATAGACACCCCCTTTAACATTAAACTCAGCTGTATTATTTCAATTTCAATCCCTGAAACAAAAATGACAAATATATTTTTCGTTTGCAAACCAAACTGAGTTACTGACATATGGCCATTCTTTTACCATAAGACAGTGATTCCCCCTATTGAGTCATCCTGACACTTAAGATGTCTTCCAATGTTTTTTACATTCACTGTTACCCTATCAGTTTCATAAGTAATTGAAACAAATGTCTTCCAGCTCAGAACTCACCCAACTGCTCTTCCTCACCAAACTCATGTAATTGCCATACTACTCCGCACCTCTGGCAAGCAATCCAACATCAACTCCACAGGCTTGGGCAACTTCAATTATTCAATCAACCAAATATTTGGTTTTGACAAATTAAAATTAATTACATGATGCCTGCCAGACAGATTTTTATCTGCATTTAAATTCCTTGTTTGCATTAATATTGAGAAGTCTGACCACATTCTGAATACAAACTCTAAGCAGCACACGTAGTTCATGATTTGGCTGAAGTATACCACTACAGGCAGTCCCCGAGTTACGCGGATCCGACTTATGTCGGATCCGCAGTTACGAATGGGGCTTTTCTCGCCCCGGAGGACGGGAGCGGCGGGACGCCCAGATGCACCGCGGTCCGCCGCCCCCATCCTCTGGGGTGAGAAAAACTGCTCCCCGTCTCCCTGGTCTGCAGGGAGATCATGATTTGGCTGAAGTATACCACTACAGGCAGTCCCCGAGTTACGCGGATCCGACTTATGTCGGATCCGCAGTTACGAATGGGGCTTTTCTCGCCCCGGAGGACGGGAGCGGCGGGACGCCCAGATGCACCGCGGTCCGCCGCCCCCATCCTCTGGGGTGAGAAAAACTGCTCCCCGTCTCCCTGGTCTGCAGGGAGAGGGGGAGCAAAGCCTTGGAGTACGCCCGCAGCGGGACAGCCCGGGCGCGCTTGAGCTGTCCCCCTGCGGGCGTGCTCCGCGGCTTTGCTCCCCGTCTCCCGACCAGCAGACCAGGGAGATGGGGAGCAAAGCCTCGGAGCATGCCAGCAGTGGGACAGCCGTGGTGCGCCTGGACTGTCCCGCTGCCCGTGTGCTCTGCAGCTTTGCTCCGCGGCTCGCACGTCACCAGCACAATG